CAATGGAGGGCTAACAATGTTCAAGAGGAAGTGTACTCATTACCTCACTCATGTAACTGTAACCCTCTGTATAGTATCTTTACAATAAAAAAAAAAAGAAAAAAAGAAAATGCATCTGGAATCTAAGTCAGTTTTAAGGGTGCATGTGATACCTACTCACAAAGTTTCTTTTAAAAAGAATCTGTCTTAGAATAATTTTTGGATGAATTTAGAAGACTGAACTCACAAAGTGTGCTGCAGATGACCAAGTGCAGCACTTGCTATGCGGCTGAGCTAGAACCGGAAAATCAGGCCAAGGACGTAACAGCTCCCCATCTCCCCACAGCCGTCAACTATACCCAGTGAGTCTTCCTCACTGAATCAGGACAAAATTTAAATCTAAGTCTTTAATTGCAGCACATTTACAGTTGAGATAAGTTTCTGGATAAGGTCAAGCTTTAAGTGACCATGACTGGTCTATAGAACTTACATAAAACATTTAACAACCACTCATTCAGCAAGTATGTTCCAAGTTTCTGCATTAGCGCTGGTGGGTGGGTGGGGAGCTGTCAGGTGATATAGATTGCAGGTAGGAAGCCGGCAATTCCGCATGGCATGTAGAAGGTAGAACATCTTAGTGATACGTAAGGGCATAGACAATACTAAGAAGTCATAAATGAAGCACAGTCACAGAGACTGTTTCTCCTAGGCTCGCAGAGAGGATCTAAGGCAATGACTGAAACTTTACTTCAGTGCACAAGAAGACCTCTAGGCAAGCAGGGCACAATGCAGGTTCCTTTGACTGGGCCTCAAAGATGGTGAGTCAGAAGATGTCAGAAACAAAGAATTGACATCTCTGTTCTTCAGCTTTTGTTCGCCATCGTGGTTACTGTGCCTTCCAGAGCTTCCCATCATGTCTTCTCACAAGACTTTCAGAATCAAGCGGTTTCTGGCCAAGAAACAAAAGCAAAATTGCCCCATTCCCCAGTGGATTCGGATGAAAACTGGTAACAAAATCAGGTAGAACTCCAAGAGAAGACACTGGAGAAGAACCAAGCTGGGTCTGTAAGGAATTGCTTCAGATGCCCACATATTTATGCTCTACCATGAACCAATCAAGCTAAAACGTCAATACTGCCTGGACTGACAGTTGGGCATTTTTTAAATTGATCTTTCTTTGGTTATTTTAATAATGGGCACAGTAATAAACATGTAATAAACATTACATTTGAATCAAAAAAAAAAAAGAATTGACATCTCTAACGATCTGCTGTGGGAGACAGTCCTTGGCCCACTCTTCTTAGAAACTTAGACCACGCTCAGGCTTGCTTAGTTGTGATCTTACATGGTATTAAAAGGCTGTGAGGTATGCTCTGCGGTCAGTACCATGAAGAGCAGAGGAAAAGAAGCTTCTCACTCAGCTTTTGGCCTACAGGGAAAGGGCAAGAACCTGACCGTTCTGATTACTAACACATGATTATCCTATTAAAAATAGAACACTTTTATGCAGGCAGTAATCTACTATGGTAGGTTGCAGCACTGTGTCACCACGAGGTTTAATGACTCAGGCAGTCTCTGAAGAGTCACCTGAGGGCTACATCATGAGCCCAAGAGGCGGCCAGCAGACTCCCAGGGAGTTGCCCATAGGGCTGCCTTGCATGTCACACTGAAGAGTCACCTGAGGGCCAGCGGCCTCCCAGCCCGCAGGGCTGCCCTCCCTCCGTGTCACGCCGGAGCGGAAGGCAGACTCTGGACACTGGGAAGATGACCACACCACCAGCACTTCATGCCATGATCTCATGCAGCCCTCCCAGCAGCTCCACTAACCATGTCGGGATTACTCTGCTGGTTTCAGGCGTGAGCCTTCCAAAGGCCCAAGTCCCTCACAAGTCTGCAGTGGCACTGGGAGGGAAGGCCCCCATGCAAGTCGGACAGGGGAGGGAGGAGGAGGGCGTGTCTGGCAGGGGCAGGAAATACAACTAACAGTCGGGCTGTAGGCCAAAGCTGGGAGGTGTGGGAGACGGGCCATACCAAAAGCACCTGCCAGTAGTCTGGATGAGGAGCGGAATGGAAGGCTGGGGTGAGCAGCTTCTGGAGACACCGTTTTGCAGAGAGAGATGGACTAGACCTGGAGGCAGCATCCAGGCAGAAGTGCCAGGTGGAAAACAACACAACAGGAGGGCACTGGTAGCGAGGACAGAAAACACGAGGCAGACAGGAGACGCTGCGGGGCCAGAAGGCCGGGACAGCGTCTCTCGTGTGGGTGAGGGGCAGGGGCGAGAAGCTAAATGTAACTCTCAGGCATTTCATATACTAAAGTGGCCAGAGGATGGTAGCAGCAGTAACTAAATAGCTTATCATCAAAACAGTCAAGCTTGGATCTTTTACTACTAGATAAAAAATACCAGAGGACACAGCTATAAATAAAAAGGAACAAGTTGTGACTGGATATCTAGAAATGGAGAAAATTAATTTGCACCAGCCCCTCAGGGACAGGACATGGAAGACTAAGGCCATATGGTTTCAGGAAAGTGCGCAGCCTCGTCACCAAAGGCTGACTTAACTAAGTGCATCACAGACCATGCTCCTTCCAGAAGGCCCCATGCCTGGAAAGTCTAAAGCAGCTCTCAGTGTGCTCTTGACTTGGAGTGGAGAAAGCGAGGGGTAGATACTCTCTCGCTTGGCTTTCTGCTCGTGGCTGGCACTTGTGGCTACCGCTTGAGCCACACTCTGGTCCAGCTCCACTCCCCCCTTCCCCCCGGATCATTGAAGAATCTTGAGGACCATTTTGCCTGGGTTGGCTTTGAACCTTGATCTTCAGACTTTAGCCTCCAGAGTAGGTAGGATTACGGGTGAACCATGGGCAACTGACTGAAGGGGAGATCCTCAATCCAAGTACCCTAGCACACCCCTTCAGAAGCAGCCTTTCTAACTGGGTCTGCCAACCGTCCCGGCAGCGTGCCTTTGGCCTTCTGTAGGCCCAAGATGCTGTGCCAGGCATCAGAGTCAGCAATAGGGTCATCTGCACCTCCAGCATTGGCCTGAATGCTGAAGGTTAAATCTTACTGCCAGCTGAAAGGTCACTGCAGTAGAAAGCATGACCCATTCCCCAAAGAGCAAAATATCAGTAGCAGCACCTACCCGGTAGGTGTAAAGACAAGGCGCAATCTCTGCCCTTATCCCCTAACTGCCCTGAGGGCGGGGGGGGGGCACCTCCAGCCTCCGTCAGGAGACAGCACTACGTGCGAGGAGGCCAGGTATCACAAAAAGGCCTTGAGCCTACCACACGGCACGTGTGCAAACCAGCGAATCAGCTGCACAGGCAGTGAGGGAAATGGTTGGCACAGCTCTTCACAGAAGGGCTAAATCATAAAAGTCTTGTTGGTTGGATAAATGCTTATTTCTGTCATTTATAGTGGCTTATCATTTACGCCCAATTGTCATGCAATTCAATAGCCATTATGAAAATGACTAGACATGTGTATTAAGTTAATGGCTTCATTTTCTGGGGACAGAACTCTGTTCATGATGCTGGGAAGGTGGCTCAGTAGTAGAGCGCTTGCCTTGCATGCATGAGGCCCTGGGTTCGATTCCTCAGCACCACATACACAGAAAAAACCAGTAGTGGAGCTGTGGCTCAAGTGGTAGAGTGCTAGCTTTAAGCTGAGGAACTTAGGGACAGCACCCAGGCCCAGAGTTCAAGCCCCAAGACTGACCAAAAACAAAAAAGCAAAAAAAACCATCATCCAACTCTGTTCACAAATGTATCAGTTTACACTCATGGAGCCTGGCCCCAGCTCCACACCACACTCAGAAAGAGTCCCAGGAAAGGAAGGCTTACTGCCGCGCCCACCACACAGCCTCGTTCCCAGCTTCAATTATATTTTCCCATCACTTTAAAATCTTTATTTGGTTGGTCCTATAAAAAGAAATACCTTTTTGTGAAGCTAGTTGATATTTTTAAAATCCAAAAGGAAAGAAAATGGAAAATAAAAAAAAGAACTTTAATGGAGTACAGGGGAAAATATATAAAACAATTTAAAATAGCTCCTACCAGCAACTCTGGCTCCCCAGAAATAATTCCCATCCTTGGAGACTGGAACAACATTTAAACACACTGGCTTTCCCGTGTAAACACACCCTTATTTGGACGTGTTTCTGAGTTCAGTGATACTAGCGGGAGCAGGCGTGGTCGAGATGTCTGAGCCGGACCGCCCTGCCCTTCTGCCCACCCTCCCTCCCTCCCTCCTTCCCTCCCTCCCTCCCTCCCTCCCTCCCTCCCGGCTCTCCTGCCTGCCCACCCGCAGGAAGCCGGCTCCTGACACCTCTCACAGCCGAGCCCTGCCCACAGTCTCACCCTGCCCACAGTCTCACGGCTCCCGTCAGAGCCGTCAGAGGCGGCGACGTCAGCCTTCGGGTGATTGCCTCATTCGGCAATCTTTCTTTAATGACTTTCTTCTCCCCGCACACAAGCCTGCAGCACTTCCCTGAGTTCCCTAAGCCCCCTCTCGCTGCCTGCCGGAGACAGAGTGCGAGGCGGAGGCTCTCTCGGGCAGGAGCGCTGCGCTGGTGACAGCGGCTGCGAGTTCAGCCTTGGTTTACGCCTCTCCTGACCGACCGCCCTCACACCGGTTCTGTGACCTGAGGCTAAGTTCAGTAGTCCCGCATGCGGGCGACATGGTGTGAATGAACAGACTCTTCCCTGGACTGCAGTGACAGCCACACACAGCAGCCAGGTCCCATGCTACCACGCGCAAGGAAGGAAGATGGGAAGCGCGTCTCTGGAAGGAACAACTAGCCTTTGAGTAGGCCAAAAAGCAAGAAAAAGAAAAAGCCAGAAAGGCCAGTGTCTGGCCAAAGATGACTTGTCTCTACTGCTCCTCTCAGACCTGGCCTGCGTGTGTTGGGAGCTGTGCTGAGTCAGCTTGGCCAGGGCGGGTCGGAGGTCAGCTCAAGGTTCTTGGAGCTCCGTCCGCCGGAGCCGCTGGCTCTGCTCGGCCTCGGCGCAGGCCCTGCTGTGGCCGCACTGTGGCGGCGCTAGAGAAAACAGGCCCCTCAGAGGCAGAGCAGGAGAGCAGCATGTGAAGCGCTGCAGGAGCTTCAGCCCCTGCATGGAGGAGAGCTGGGGCTAGAATGGTGTGTGTGTGGGGGGAGGGAAGGTCATGGAGGCCTTAGAAAATGCAGACAGGAGCCGAGGCTCAGGGATCCAGATGATGGCGGGTGGGTCAGGGAGGACTTGACAGGCAGTGGTGGACAGGATCCTAAGCCGCACGTGGTAACCTGGGGGGCTGGGAAAGACCTGGGAGCTATGGGAGTCCACCCTGGGCAGGGAGACTCCTCCTCCAGGAGGGCCTTCTGAAGGTTTTCTTTTTTTTTTTTGCTGGTCATGGGCATTAACTCTGGGTCTGGGCGCTGTCCCTCAGCGCTTCAGCCCAAGGCTAGCACTCTACCACTGGAGCCACAGTGCCACTTCCGGCTTTTTCTGTTTATGTGGTGCTGAGGAATCGAACCCAGGGCCTCATGCTTGCAAGGCATGCACTCTACCGCTGAGCCACCTTCCCAGCCCCTTCTGAAGGTTTTCATGAGCAGACGGTTCACCATGGGTCACCATGGGTACAGACGGCACCAGAGGACGTCTGCCTCGCCCACTCCTGGTCTCTCCTGGCCTTTCTCCCAAGGGAGGCAGCAGGCTCAACTGAGCAGCAAAACGGAACAGTAGGGAGCGGCGGGGCTCTCTCCTCCTCTGCCCCTCTACCTCATCCTGCCCAGCTCTCCTCCACGGAGGCCCCGCGCCAGTGCTGTGGACCACCGTGGGTGCCGGCTGCATTGTGCAGTACAGTGATAACACATGCCCAGGCCCACGGACCAAGCCCTTCCTTATCCACACCAAAGAGACCCTCGGAAAGCCCGAGGTTGGACTGATGGGAAGCTATCCGGCTGGGAATATAGTCAGGTCACTGTAAACGTCCATGAAGGGCCACCAGCACCCAGGCGAATGCCGTGGGGAAGGAGCTCGAGGGGAGGCACGCCCACCCACAGAGGGAGACTTTGCCCTCAGGGAGAGGAGCATTCGTGCGGAAAGGCTCACCCACCTTCCTTGCTGCAGAAGCTCCATGCCAGCAGACCCCAAACCGGAAGTGCATGCACCACATGAGCTTTTTTCTCTGGGTGCCCCCTCCCCGCTGGGCAGAGGGAGAAAGCGGACACTGTTAGCAGGGGCCTGGGTCTTACCCATGTACGGGGCAGGCCAGGTGGACTGGCTCCCTCCTCCGTAGGGGTCCTGGGGCTTGGTGCTCAGAGCACTCGTGTGAAGAGCAGAGTCAGAATTGGTCCTAAGGAGGGAGAGAGTCCAGTGAAAATCCATTGTTCCTTAGTGCAGTCAGTGCTCATTGTGGAGCGCTTCCAACAGGAACGAAGGCAGGAGTGCTAACCTACAATCACCATGGAATAAGGGGCAGACCTGCCTGCAGTGTCTTCTGTCAGTGACAGCTACAGCCAAGAGATTTTAGAGTCTGAATGCAGAGTTCTGTACTTGCTAGGCAGGGCCTCTACCACTTGGGCCATGCCCCCCAGTACCTTTTGCTTTCATTAGTTTTGAGATAGGATCTTGCCAAGGGGCCAGGATTTTTGTTGTTGTTGTTGGTCATGGAACTTGAGCTCTGGGCCTGGGTGCTGTCTCCAAGCTCTTTTGCTCAAGGCTAGCACTCTACCACTTTGAGCCATAGCACCATTTCTGGTTTTCTGGTGGTTCATTGGAGATAAGAGTCTCATAGACTTTTCTGCCTGGGCTGGCTTTGAATCGCAATCCTCAGATCTCAGCCTCCTGAGTAGCTAGGACTACAGGCATGAGCTACCAGAGCCTAGCTAGCACTGGGATTTTGATCCTCTTAACTATGACTCCTATGTAGTTGGGATGAATGATGTATACCACCATGCCTGGCTGTTAAAATGAGAGCTTACTAACTTTTTGACCAATCTCTGACTCCCAAATAGCAGGGTCTGTCAGGGTAAGCCACTGGGCCCAGCTCTGAACTTGATTTCTAATATCAACAGATGAATGTCAATAGGTATACTCACATAAAGAAATGCTCTTTGAGGGTTTTGAAGTTTTTTTTTTTTAAGAATGTCAAGCAGTCCTAACACAAGAAATTTGAGAAGCACTGATCAGTACCAAATTTCTCAAACTCTCCCAGCTAGTTCTAGTTTCTCAACAGCCTCAGCTCCAGGAACACATTTATCTATGTCATTCAAGGATCAAACTGTCATAAAAATGGCATGTGATTGGCTGGGAAGGTGGCTCAGTGGTAGAGCACTTGCCTTGCATGCATGAGGCCCTGGGTTTGATTCCTCAGCACCACAGAAGCAGAAAAATCTGGAAGTGGTGCTGTGGCTCAAGTGGCAGAGTGCTAACCTTAAGCTGAAGAGCTGAGGGACAGCGCCCAGGCCCGGACAGTGCCCAGGCTCAGAGTTCAAGGCCCATGACCAACCAAAAAAAAAAAAAAAGCCTGTGAGGCAGCTGACAGCAATCATACCCATAACCCTCCAATCCTAGCTATATGAGAAGCGGGGAGAGGGAGGTTTGCAGTCTGAGGGCAGAAAAGTTCAAGAGACACATTCTCAACACACAGCTGGGTGCAGTGGTACACAACTGTCATCCCAAGCTCCGTGGGAGGTTAAGACTGGGAGGAATGCAGTTTCAGCCAGCCCAGACGGAGAAGTCTGTGAGACTCCATCTCAAAGGAGGGAAAGCTGAGCATGGTGATGCACACCTGTCATCCCAGAAACAACCAGAGGCCTAAAATAGGCAGACTGTGGTCCAGGCATGGGCCTAGCAAGAAGTAAGACCTTATCTCAAAAATAGTGAGCCAGCAGGACTGTGGGTAATCAGCATTAGCGTGGGAGACCAGCAGTGGGAAGCAGAGCTCAAACACCAGAACCACTAAGAAGGGCAGGTTAGTAAGTTCAAGTAGGCCTAGAACACTTCCCAGCTGAACAGCTCATGTGAGGTAAGCTGTAAGGTCTCAGATGAGAGAAGCAGCCAAGGGAAGAGCTGGAAACAGCCGCAGGAAGAGCAAAGCCCTGTCAACAGAGGAACCCGTCACTGCCAGCTCTTCTCCAGAAACTCAAGAGAATGTCAATCGATTGGAAAAAATATGAATGCAGACTATTGGGTCATGTTAAGGAACTGCTGTTAATTTTGTGCCATGTAATAATGATATTGCAGTTATATTTTTTGGTGCCCGTACTGAGGCTTGAACTCAAGGACTGGGCACTGTCCCTTAGCTTTTTTTTTGGTTGGTCATGAGGCTTGAACTCTTGGCTTGGGCGCTGTCTCTCAGCTCTTCAGTTCCCGGTGAGCGCTCTACCATTTGAGCCACAGCGCCACTTCCGTTTTTTTGGTGGTTTATTGGAGATTAAGAGTTTCGTGGCCTTTCCTGCCCAGGCTGCCTTTGAACCATAATCCTCAGATCTCAGCCTCCTGAGTAGCTAGGATGACAGGTGTGAGCCACCGGTGCCAAGCTGTCCCTTAGCTTTTCGCTCAAGGTTAGTGCTCTACCACTCGAGACATAGCTCCACTTCCAGCTTTTATGGTGGTTAACTGTAGACTCTCACATACTTTCCTTCCTGGGCTGGCTTTAAACTGAGCACAGGAGCCTCTGGTGCATATTTGTGGTTATTTTTTTTTAAGGTTCTCACAAGCTTGTGCTGTGGGAGATGTGGCCATGGACTGGGGTACAAGCTTGTGCTGTGGGAGATGTGGCCATGGACTGGGGTACAAGCTGAGAGGCAAAGAAGTGAGACTAGCAGGATGCCAGCGAAGCCTGAGCGACACCTTGAGACGGGCGCGAGGACTCTTACAACCTCCTTCCTCTGCGCAGTATTATCACAGCTTTGTTGGTGAGACAGAGTCCCACCATGTAACCCATGATCCCTGTCTCAGCTTCCCCAATACTGACATTACAGACAAGCCACCAGGCCCGGGCTTGTTTTACTTTTTTAAAATCCTAATGCCTTCACATACTAACTTAAGGGCCCTTGAGCAAGTTATTCCACCTCTTAAAACCTCATGGCATGCTGAGCGCTGGTGGCTCACGCCTGTAATCCTCACTACTCCAGAGGCTAAGATCTGAGGATCGCGGTTCAAAGCCAGCCCGGGCAGGAAAAGTCCTTGGGACTCTATATCCAATAAACCACTTGAAAACCAGAAGTGGTGCTGTGGCTCAAGCTGTAGAGCGCTCGCCTTGAGCTGAAGAGCTGAGGGACAGCGCCCAGGCCCAGAGTTCAAGCCCCACAACTGACATCATGGTACTGGCTGGTGTGGAGCACCCTCAGGACTGAAGAAGTGGCGGGTGACACTCGCGCGGGGAGTGTGGGCCCTCTGACGCCTGCGAGCGCTCGGGCTCCTCAGGTCAGCTGCCCCTGAGAGGCGCGGCTAGCCCCCCGTTCAGGTAAGAAGCTGAGGCGCTCCTGCGTGCTGTCCTCCTCACAACAAAAACCTCTTCATACAAACACAATGATGTCAACAAACACGCTGGGAAGCCAGGGAATGGGTGCCCCGTCTTAAAAATCTTTTTTTGGGGGGGGCCCGGTCGTGGGGCCTGAACTCTGGGCCTGGGCACTCTCCCTCAGCTCTTCAGCTCAAGGCTAGCGCTCTACCACTTAAGCCACAGCGCCACTTCTGGCTTTCTTTCTTTTTGCTTATGTGGTGCTGAGGAATCGAACCCAGGGCCTCAGGCATGCAAGGCAAGTGCTCTACCACTGAGCCACCTTCCCAGCCCCAAAGTTTATCATTTATCTCATCATCATCTTTCTTTTTTTTTGGGGGGGGAAGGGGTTAAAAATCTTTTAGGAAAGGAACAGCCCGGTACCTGTTAAGTGCCGACGTCAGCCTGAGTCCAGGGTGTTTTTCTTCTTTCCAAGGAGGCTGCTGCCTTGAAAAGCACGACATGAAAGGGAGAGAGATTCAATCCACACGCGGGAAGGAGAGCCACAGCAGGTCTGAGAGCGGCTCCTGGGCTCAGTGACGCAGAGCCCGGGGCAGCTCGCATGCCCAGGCCGCCCCGTTTTGCTCATTTTCTCACTGGGGTGAAACAAGGCCGGACTGAGTGATCTCTCAGCGCCTGGGAGCTTGGACTCCAGGGCAACTTCTGCAAACTCATGGGACAGGATTAGCTGGCTGGACACATGCAGGGCTAATACAGAGACGAATGCGCACCTCAGATCCGTCAGATCAAGGCCGGGCAGAAAGTCCTTACTGCCTACTACTGTCACTAACTGGGTGTGGGTTTGGGGGGCACGCTGCCACTCAGATATGGATGGCCATGGAGAGGGACAGAATGGTTACCCAGACTGTAAAAATATTCATTACTGCTCTAGAAAGCACAAGACACTTTTTCTTGGACATAGATAAGACTAATTATCAGTTTCGAGATCCACTTTTTCTCACTCAAAATCTTGTATTATTTATTCTACAGGTTTGAATCTGAGAATTCAGGAGGACAGTTGATTAGGCCACTGTTCGTTTCCATCTTCCTTTTCTTTCTCAGAAAGAAAATAACCCGCAGTATATTCTGTGGTAAGTAACTGATACTGGCCTGGAGAACAGAAGGAGCAAAAGCCAGTCTTGGGGCTTGAACTCAGGGCCTGGTCACTGTCCTTGAGCTTTTCTTTTCTTTCTTTTTTTGGTTGTGGGGCTTGAACTCTGGGCCTGGACACTGTCCCTCAACTCTTCAGCTCAAGGCTAGCACTCTACCACTTGAGCCAAACCACTTCCGGTTTTCTGATGGTTCATGGGAGATAAGAGTCTCATGGACTTTCTTGCCGGGGCTGGCTTTGAACCAAGATTCTCACATCTTAGTCTCCTGAGTAATTAGGATTATAATATAGCCACTGGTTATTATAATAGCCACTGGTACCTGGCACTTCTGGCCTTTTCTGCTTATCTGGTACTGAGGAATCAAACCCAGGGCTTCAGGCATGCTAGGCACGCACTCTACCACTGAGCCACATTCCCAGCCCTACTAACTTCTTTTTGACATGCACATTTCCAATGTCTCCTCCATCTGACTTGGAGATCTGAACGATCCATACAACAGACGTTGTGACTTTTCAGTTACTTTTATAATCCATCACTCTGTCTAGGCTGGAGACAAAAATATTAGGATCCTAAATCAAATATTGCACAAATGATCATTTTTAGGAGTCGCTCATTCTTTTCAGGAACTTACTAATGAAGCCTAAGAAACTTATTTACAGTTGGGCATTAGCTCATGTCTATTATCCCAGTTACTCAGGAGGCTCAGACTGGAGGACTGTGGTCCAAAGCCAGACTGAGCAGGTAAGTCTGTTGGACACTCTTATTGTAATTAAGCACCCAAAAAAAGCCTAAGTGAAACTGTGGCTCAAGTGGTAGAGTGCTGGCCTTGAGGAAAAAAGCTCAGGAACAGCACACAGGCCCTGAGCTCAAGCCCCAGGATTGGCACCAAATAAAAACAACAAAAATTCTAGTCTAATAGTTTTCATATGGGTTTCTATTTAAAGTATGAAGACCTAGAATTACTTATTTATTTACTTGTTTATTTTTTGTTGGTCATGGGGCCTGAACACTATCCCTCAGCTCTTCAGCTCAAGGCTAGCACTCTATCACTTGAGCCTCAGCCCCACTTCCGGCTTTCTCTGCTTATGTGGTGCTGAGGAATCGAACCCAGGGCCTCATGCATGCAAGGCAAGCACTCTACCACTGAGCCACCTTCCCAGCCCCCTAGAATTAATCAATTTAGTTGTATACTTGCATATAAGTCCATGATTAAGCATGCAAAGATGTAAGTATAAAACAAGATTCTATTTTATGTTAATTAATACTCAAGGCAGATCAAGTGAAATTACCTAAAGAAAATAATCTTCTCAAGTTAGTGAAGCTTGCTTACCTTGGCCAGCTCTCATCCAGAGCCTGGGAGGAGTAACCGGCTCCAGATGCACTACCATCCAAGTAGAAACTTTAGTAAAGGAAAGCTATGGTGAATGGGAGGTTGAAGCAGATGCAGAGATTGGCTCTTACTGTTGTATCTGTACTGGCGGTCTTCATCTTCTCAGTGCCTCTAGAACATGCTACGCCCCCACCCCCACCCCCATCATCCAACCCGTCTTCCTCCCGTGATTCATGTGGCTGTGCCTTTTTTTTTTCTTTTACTGCCTGTCCAGTAGCTTTTGTTTTCAAGAACTGCCTCCACTTCACCCTAACCTGGCCGCCATCCTCTGCAGAAGGGCCTGACCCAGGGTACGGGCTCAGGCCCAGTTATATCCAGTCATGCTACGTTGCCCCCGGAAATAATGATTGGTTCAGGGATGGGCTCATGACCCAAATAAGATCAAGGAAGGAGAGTGCCCCTAACGAGGTGACAAGTCCAGGCTATTGGAGTCTGAGGCTCCTGATGGAGAAAGCGTGTCTGCGTGTGCAGTCGACACAGAAGCAGCACCAGACACCAGAAACTCACTTCCTGTGACTCAGCCAATTCAGTTCACTTTTCCTTGGGGGCTGCAGGTTTGAAGTCTGACTTGACAACTCAGTGAGACCCAGTCTCCAAATCTTAAAAGAAAGCACCGGGGATGTCTTTCGGCGGCAGTGCTTACCTAGCCTGCACAGGGCCTCAGTTCAGCCCAGAACCTGTGGTGTGTCAAGGTCTCACCAAGTCTGCCATGCCGGGGAGCAGGGCGGAGAAGCGGTGCGCTGCGCCCCTGCGCAGCTCAGCTGTCTGCATTCACTTATTTGCACCTACGGGACCGTCTTCTGTTCGCAGTACTGGATTTTGAACTCTGAGCTGTACGCCTGATAAGTACTCTACTACTTGAGCTATGGCCCCAGTTACCTTCAGTTATTTCTCAGGTAGGGTCTTGGTTTTTGTCTAGATTCAGCCTCGGGCCAAGATCCATACCTGTGCCTGTCATGTAGCTGGAAAGGCAGGTGCTCACCACCATGCTTGGCTTGTTGAGTAAGATAGGGTCTTGCCTGAGCTGGTCCCAAACTTTGACTCTCTCCATTTCTGCCTCCCAAGGAGTTGGGATTATAGCCCATTACTTCGGGCTCCCACAGGACTTCTTAAGCCATTTTTAGTCATTTTATCCTCCCACTAAAAAGTCTCCAAAGGCCCTCCTCAGCCTGAAAAACACAATCAAACTTTATTGGCTCATTCACTCAGCACAGCACAGCTGTCTGCAAAGAGCTGTCTGCTCTCCAGCTGTCTGTCCTTCCCCTCCCAAAGTCCCCATGGTCAGTAAAGGAAACTCTATCCCTCAACAAGAGAATCCCAACGGAGACCTGAGGAGCCTAGGGGAGCAGCTTCCCCCTCCCCTCAAGAGGAAGGGGGGGTAGCTCTTCTTCCTGTTGATGACAGGACATCTGTTGGCAGTGTGAAGTTACCGAACCAGAGATGCTCAAAGCAAGCTCCGCCCCTTGTGTGACTCAGCAGAGGGGTGGAGCAGGGCTCTTTCCTTGGCTATCTTCCCTGTAGTAGGCACAGCAGGCAGGGATGCGGAAGCCCCTTCAGGAGGGAGCCCGGCTGTCCATTTTCTCCTCCATTCTGGAACTGTGTTCTGCCCAGGAACAGGTTATGGGCAGCCTGTGACCTTCTATGCAGCTGGCTGGTAAAGAGACGCCCCTGCTTAATGGAAACCAGCTGCCTGGATCCCAGTGTCAGATTTCATACACAAAACTGGTCACGATTTGGTGCCTTCCTAATTCCTAAGCCCTGTTTTTAGGGTCACTCTACTTCCTCTTGCATGTGGCCTCCGTGTCCCTCTAGAACACATCTTAAAGTAGAGCTGGAAGGTATGAACAGGATCTAAGCATTTACACCTCCCTGTTTCCAAAGCAAACAGGTTGCTTGTGTCGAATTTTCAGAGCATTTTCCCTTTAACGTCTGAAGACCGCGCCTCTTTGACTCTTGAGATATGGGTATCCTGTGAATTTCTGTGATCACATGTTTTGGAACTCCTGGGTTACAGGTAGGTGTTTCTAGCTCTGCCCTGTAATCCTTTAGAGGTGGGGGGGAGCACTGTGCTTCCAGGCTTCCTGAGACTCCGTGTTAAACAGTGGCCAGGACCAGTGGCGTGTGCCTGCTCTCCCAGCCAGGGGGCCTGGGAAACACACTGGCCAGCACCTGAGCAACATGCTCCTCCAACAGGGAGGCAGGTAGGAGGCTCGCAGCCCAGGCTGGCCTGGGCATAAAGCAAAGCCCTACCTCAAAGATAAGCAATGGAAAAAGGAGCCGAAAGCATGGTTCAACTAAGTAGAGCTCTTGTCTAGCAAGGCGCTGAGACCAGGTTCCAGTACTGTAAAAAAAAAAAAAAGTTTCATTGCAGAAATCCTCCAAGAAGCAGCAGACAGCACAGTACCTTCGAGTTGACTATCTAGAGGGCTGTTGGTGCTAGCAAACACTCAATTCTGTTAGGAAACTTCCTAAATATTGGTTTACTTCCTTTCAAAAACCAGATCTCTTCTGTAAGATGGTGTCCTCTCTAGAGTGTCCCCTTCTTTTCCACAGGTCTGGGAAAATACTTCATTTTCTGTCCATGTATAGAAATAGCTCAGAAACTCAACAAGATGGTGTTTTGGATACTGTGTGTCTGCTGCCCTCCAGAAGGAGCAAGAGCTGCTGAAGGCGCAGGAGCTACTAAAAGCTGTGTGAGTGTCTGCTCTGCTCTCCCCTGCCAGGCCTCTCCGCCCCCACGGGCCTCCCCCACCCCTGCCTGTGGGACCAGCTGTGGCAGTGCTTGGTTTCTGCCTGTGGGAGCAATGCACGCCGACCACACACAGCCCCTGTCCTGGCCCTTTCTGCGCTCTGGCTGCCTACTGCAGAAGGAAGCCCTGTGCCAGGGCTGAGCCTGTGGCTGCCCACTGTGGGAGGAGGCCGGGTGCTTGTAGAACAATGTTCATTTTGTGATCACTGTGACCCCGGGCCGAACCCTCTCTAAGCCAGTCTATCCATCCTAAAATAACATCCAAGCCAAGAAATAACTAAGTAAGAGAATTCTGAACACATCAATTTTAAGCAAATTCTTTTATAACCAATAGAGTGTACACCACGAAAGGAAAGGCCTCAGCCCCGTCCCTCTTGGGTCTGGATAAATTCACGCCTTCCATGTCCAAGCCTCTCGCTCAGGCTCTGACTAGGAGCACGCTCTCTGCGTCATTAGTGGGCACTCCTAGGCTACAGAACTTGCTTTGCATCAGGCGCTGTCCAGTCCCAGGAACCCAATTAGGGGCTTAGCAGGAGGCCACAGAGAGCTGCTCATGATCGGTGAATCAGCTCGTGCTCTGGTGAACGGAAGAAACAGTGTTGGTTTGGTTTTTGCTTCTCCTTCCCTTAGGTGCTGACAACTCTCACGAGATGACTCAGACCAGGTACCTAAAAAGCGCACAATGCTGTCTCCTCTCTGGGCCTCTGCACAGCCCTTCTCTCTGGGAGACATGGCTTTCCCCACGCTTGCTCTCTTACACATGCTCAAACCACTTTTCTTAACTGTCTTTTGCTCTTTGCTGAGACTCTAAGCTCCGGACAGTGGGTGCGACCTCTCACCCTTCACTTGGTCCCAAGTCTAGGACAGCGCCTGGCACGGGAAAGGGACGCCATAAATACCTGCTGAGTAACTCTCATTTCTTCTTCCCTCCAGGCCTCCTCCTCCACTCAGGCTGGCCCAGCTGTCCCTCCCAGCTCACCGGCGCCTGCAGCTCTGCCACACTGTGTGCTGGCGGCCTGCTAGCTGAAGTGCTGTTCCACAGACCCCATCGGCCTGAGGAAAAGGGCTGAAGTACGTCAACGGTCAAGTTTACAAAGCGGCATCTGGCTACCAGTAGGTATTTCACAAATCACTTCCAGTGATTCTCCCCTTTCTCTTTTCTTCAATTCCTTCATTTTCTATTCCTTTGGTTAATGAAGCTGCATATGTATTTATGTATTTAAACTATATTGCTTCAAAAAGTATCTGAGGTAGTCATATATGTGCAATAAAATGTTCAAAAAAGAGGAAACTGTGAAAATAAGATATATTCTATTGGTTCTTTTTTACTTTCTTTTCTGTCTGGTTTTTGAGACAGGGATCTGACTATGGAGCTCAGGCTGGCCCTGGAATTTTTGGGGGGGCAGGGCAAACAGTCCCAGAACCTGAACCTATGACGTTGCATATGACAGACAAGCCTTCTACCACTTGAGCCATGCTTCCAGCCTAGAATTTTTTTTGCAACTCCTGGGGCTTCAACTCAGAGCCTAGGCACTGCCCCTGAGCTTCTTTTGATCAAGACTAGCACTCTACCACTTGAGCCACAGCACCACTTCTGGCCTTTTCTGTTTATTTGGTCCTGAGGAATTGAACCCAGGACTTCATGCATGCTAGGCAAGCACTCTACCATTGAGCTACCTTCCCAGCCCCAGAATTTATTTTATTTTTTTGGTTGGTTGTGGGGCCTGAACTCGGCCTGAGCGCTGTCCCTCAGCTTTGCAGCTCAAGGCTAGCGCTCTACTGCTTGAGCCACAGCGCCACTTCCGGTTTTCTAATGGTTTATTGGAGATAAGAGTCTCACAAACTTTCCTGCCTAGGCTGGCTTTGAACCATGATCCTTAGATCTCAGACTCCTGAATAGCTAAGATTACATGCATGAGCTACCAGTGTCTGGCTCAGAATTGTTATTAAAAAAGTATGTGTGTGTGTGTGTCACTAGGGATGGAACCCAAGGCTTTGACTACAGCACTGTACTCCCAGCAAAGGAATCTCTTTTTCTGTGTGTTTGTGCTGTTGGTCCTTGGGAATGCAAGGCCAGTGTCTACTATGCAGCTATGTTCCAGCTCCTGCATTTGAAAATCAAGCAAGAAAGTCTTCCGCTTAGACGTCACACCAACGGAGACAAGATGAGACGACGTGCTGTGCAAGCGAGCAAGCGCCTGGCCCCTCCCTGCCTCCCACCACCTCTGCACCCTGCCAGGACCACACTGTCCACAGCCAGAAAGGCTCCTCAAAGAACCCTTCGCTTCACAGCCTCTGTGATGGCCACAGAACCAGAAAGCAGAGTGCTTTATGGAAGGTGGCGTGTCTGGGGCAGTGGAGCGGGGGGAATGTTCTAGAGTCATTATCCTTGCCTCCAAATAGATTAGGACCCAAAGGAGCGGGAGGGCAAGCACCGCCGGGGCGCCCACGCTCCTCCTGGAGTCTCTTGCACATGGTCCTCATCACCCCGGAGCCGAAGCTGGGCGGGCAGACCGCAGGACCCAGGCTGGGCCACGGCTCTTGCAGACTGATGGTGGAATTCTGGACAAGCTGCCTTGATGCCGCTTTCTCGTGGGAAAATGGGGGTTAAAAAAGTAAAGGACTCTGAGTTCTGAGGACTGCTCAGACACTGCTCAGCGCTGGCATGGGTTGGGTGCCTGGTAAACAGAGCGCCCTCCCCCACTTCCTGGTTTCTAGGCTTCTAAAGCCCATTCTACCATCACTGCCAGGAATTTAGCCTGGCGGGGCTCACCCCGCCTCGCTCCTTCCTCCAGCCCTGGCTCACGTGCACAGAAGAGCAGTGAAAGCAGAGGCCGCAGGCCCGCGTGTCGGCGCCCGCGCAGACTCACGGCTACTTAGCAACACAGAGTCTGCTGTCAAACGTGAGAATTTCCCGACATAGCAGGTTTTTATTTCAGTGGTCATTTGCAGAGTTTGAAACTTTTAAGTAGGAAACCATACGAGATTTCTTCTTTGTGTTCCAAAAGCAGGTCAGCAGGTCAACTGAAAGGCAGATAAACCCTGTCTGTCTTCACTTTTGCTAGGCAGACTGAATCCCTTTAACTTAATTCTACGTCAGGCTTAGCTGCCAATTTCTGAAGCCTTTGCTAAGAATGCCTTGCAAAGCACCTGGATTCCTGCTGTTTCATTACACTTCATCAGCACATCAGAGCCACCTACAGTGCTCTTCCTAAATCTTGCCAGGAAGATGTTTCATCTACCTTTACTGCCTCAATGCAGATAAGATGAAATTTGGAAGCCTTGGAGAAATGTGAGGAGATAATCCTGAGAACCTTCCCAGCATTTCACACCCCACGCTCTCCCCCGCAGCGAAAGGATATCGGGCGCCCTGGCTTGTCCCCAGGCCTTCGGTGGAGGGGATGGAAGCGGCTCCGAGCTGGCCTCTCCACAAGCCCGTGGTGCCGAGTCCCTCGAACAGTGTCAGCTTGATGAAATGACGGCTGTGGAGAAGAAAGAAGAGTTGGCTTCTGATCACAGAGCTGACGCTCTCCCCCAAGAACAAGGTAACAGCTGAAGAGGGGCGGGGGCTGCGCCGCGGCCCAGCACTCTGCCTTAAGCTGAGGTAAAACAATGCAGCGCGTCCTGTTTTATAATTACAGAGTAAATTAAAAATAATTGTTAGTGTGTGACTGTGAGCATGAAAAGAGTGATATGAAAGCTGGCACAGATGGGCTTTTTCTGAGGAGTTTATTGGAGATAAGAGTCTCATAGACTTTTCTGCTGGGCTGACTTTGAGCCACAAGCCTCAGACATGACCCACCAGCGCCCAGCAACAATTTCATTTTCAACATTATGTACACATATGACTTGGAGAAGCATAAAATTAAATAATAATAAAGTAAATAAAAACATTAATAGTTCTGTTAAGCCCCTAGCCTGTATTTTTTCTCAGATGAGCATTTTTTTTTTTGGTCTTGACACCTATACTCTAATATTAATTTGTATATCACATAGTCTGGTGATTTTATTGTTGTTGTTGGTGGTGGTTATTGGGCTTGAACTCAGGGCCTGGGCACTGTCACTCAGCTCTTCAGCTCAAGGCTAGCGTTCTACCACTTGAGCCACAGCACCACTTCTGCCTTTATCTGCTTATGCAGTGCTGAGGAATTGAACCCAGGACCTCATGCATGTGAGGCAAGCATTCTACCACTGAGCCAATTTCCCAGCCCTGAGATTTTTCTTTTTTTAATAAAAAGGGATTAGAATAAAAAGAGGTATTTAAGATACAAGGAGGCTAGGAATGTGGCTTAGTGGTAGAGTGCTTGTCTAGCATGCATGAAGTCCTGGGTTCGATTCCTTAGTACTACATAAACAGAGAAAGCCAGAAGTGATGCTGTGTGGCTCAAGTGGTAGAGTGCTAGCCTTGAGCAAAAAGAAGCTTAGGGACAGGCCCAGATCCCGAGTTGAAGCCCCAGGACTGGCAAAAAAAAAAAAAGAACGAGTAAACTGACAAGTTTATTTGCTCTACATACATAATACATCCTTTAAGTTCTTTGACTGGATTCAGTGTTGAAAAATTCAGATTTCAAGTTTCCAAGGGGCCACATTGGCTCCTGTTCTACACTGAGTAGATGCTCTCTGTTGGTGAGACACTTAGATCAATAACAAATAACACATAAATATTAACTAAGCAAGTAAGACAAGTATGGTCATTCCTATAATCCTTACTGCTAGAAAGTTGAGATTCAAAGTCAGATGGACAGAAAAATTTGTGAGACTCCATCTTCAATTAACCAGCAAAAAGCTAGATTGGAGGCAAAAAGCCAGGCTAGAAATATATCTGGCTCTGAATGCAAGCCCGGGTGCTAATACACACACACACACACACACACACACACATTATGTAAGTAATTAAATAAGTAAAATAGAACAAAAGAGGCATATAATTTCATAAAGAAATTAGAAAAGTGTAAGAAAATGTGTCTGGGAAGAATGATGTGGGATGTGGGGTGTTTTGTTATAAATAATAGCACATGGTAACTCTAAATAAAGCATATTGGGCTAAAAACATTCTCACATCCTGTTTGTTACTTAAAAGAGCACAGGGCTCTCTTCCCCATCTGGCTTCTTGCTCACGGTGATACATAGGCAGTGTCCAGTTCTGCTGGACTCACACGGCCACGGGCCAGCCAGTCGCATCACCCATGGCCCCCCAGCCATCCCCAGATGCTCTGGACATGGGAAAGGACTAGGTTCCCAGCAGGCCACTCCTGTTTCACACGGCCAACTTCTGTAGTTCCCCTTCAGGACAAGATGAGGTTTCTCTAAATGCATTCACCATCTCTTGAGGACAGAGGCCCAGATGAGAGGAGAGGCTGCAGCCAGGCGCTGATGACTCAGACCTATAATCTTAGCTACTCTGGAGACTGAGATCTGAGGATCATAGTTCCTGCCAACCTGGGCAGGAAAGGCCATGAGACTCATATCTCCACTAAACTTCTCAGAAAAATCTGGAAACAGTGCTGTGGCAAGTCCTAAGAGCACTAGCCTTGAGCAAAAGCAGCTTAGAGCCAGCGCTCAGGCCTTGAGTTCAAGCCCCAGGACAGGCAAAGAAGAAAAGAAAGAAGAAAATGAAAGGTTGCTAAAAATTCATCACTATAAGCCAGGCTGCAGAGGAGCACACTTGTAATCCTAGCTGCTCAGAAGGTTGAGATCTGAGCATCCCAGTCTGCCAGCCCAGTAAGAAAAGTCCACGAGACTCTATCTCTAAAGTAGCTAGCAAAAAAACTGCTAAAATAACTAGCAAGCAATGATTGTAAAAAGCTAATCAAATGCTGGAGGCTGGACTGGGAACATGGCCTAGAGGTGGAGCGTTTGCCTAGCATGCATGAGCTGCTGGGCGTCATTCCTCAGCACCGCGTACACAGAAAAAGACAGAAGGGGCTGTGGCTCAAGTGGCAGAGTGCTAGTCTTGAGTAAAAGCAGCTCAGGGACAGTGTCTAGGCCCTAAGTTCAAGCACCAAAACTGACACAAAAAGAAAAGAAAATGTATAACCCTGCCTGGCCTGCTGTGAGCCACCATCCTCAACTCTCAGCCTGTGGTTACAAGTGTGGGCCACGACCCTCGGCATGAGTTATTCTCTCTTGAAAACAGCCAGCTCCTGGCTCCTGTGGCCCTGGTGCCTTCCTTTTCCTCCTCTTCTCTGGGTACTTTTACTGGGACGGAATCTTGTATGCAGCCCAGGCCTCAAACTCACCGCTCTGCAGCCCTCCCTTCTGAGGGATGGGCTTACAGAGGTATACCCATGAGTGGCTTCTTCTGAAAAAAAAATATTGTTTTGGTCAGTTATGGATCTTGAACTCTGGGCCTGGGCACTGTCTCTGAGCTCTTCACCTGGAGGTGAGCGCTCTACCACTGGAGCCACAGCGCCACTTCCAGTTTTCTGGTGGTTAATTGGAGATAAGAGTTTCACAGACTTTCCTGCCCAGGCTGGCTTGGAACTGTGATCCTCAGATCTCAGCCTCCTGAGTAGCTAGGGTGGTAGGTGTGAGCCACCGGCACCTGGCCTTTTTATTTTAATATAGAGTCTATGTATGTTCATTGCAGCTAAGTATATATGCATGTATATGTGTGCATTGCTAAGTAGGGAATGAGCTGAATAAATTATGGCAAATTCATCTAATAGAAGACTGTGTCCTCATTAAAAAAAAAAGATAATGGTGCTTTTTATCATCTGATCTGGGAAGACCTGCACGACACATGAAATAAAAACAGTAAGACACAGGAGTACGCATAGTTCCCTACTTCGTTGGATATGAAAGTGGGGCGATGGACTGTGTTCTGTGTCAGGCTCCTCCTGTCCCCAGAGCACTTACCGACACAGGAAGTATGGCCACATGGCTGCCTGCAGGAAGCGAACTGGGTGGCGAGGACACAATGACAGGGACGCTTTGGACTGCTTACCTTAACTCCTACCACGTGTGTGCACACTTATTCCTAACCACAAAAGATCCCACTACAATTCAAGTCAGAGACATAGAACACAACAGAGAAAACAGGAAGTGTCATATAAAAGATACATTATTCGAAAACCAAGATTCTCGTTTGGTCACAGAGAATACAAGGTGACAGTTTGAGAAACTTGAAAGTGATGAAGTCCAGGCCACACTAAAGAAACTGAAAGAGCATCTACAAGAAGACCAACGTGTGACTCATGGCTAAGTGGGAAACTCGCCAACAGAACCAGAGAAGACGCTTGCAGCACACGCAGGAGGCTGCGGCAGACAGAAGCGAGGGTCCCGCGCCCTGCCTCCGGAGTTCACACCTTTGTTGTTACGAGCCCTGCCCTGGAGTGTCGGTTGGCAGGGCCCCACGTTGCTTCTAACCAACAGGTGAGTGCCCCGTGGCGGGGCGTCACTCCAGTGACGGTGACGCACTGACAGCACTTGTCAGCAGAGGCACCAGAAAGACTCCTCACCGGCCGGCCATGCAGAAAGAAGTGCCGAGAAGGAGCTGACACGTGAAGACCACATGGCACAGAAGCGAGCGTGACCGCAGGTGCCCAGAGAACTTCAGTAAGAAACAGAGTCAGACGTGGTGTTCCACACCTGTACTCCCAGCTACCCAGGAGGTAAAAATTACGAAACAAAACAAGCCATTTGTGGCGGCACATGCCTGTGATCCCAGCCGTTCCAAGGCTTAGGAAGTAAGGTCACAGCTGGCGGTCAGCCCCAGAAAAAATGGGACAGACTCTAGGAAAAGAATAATAATGAGCCATGAGCTGGGCGCAGGTGGCTCATCCTACCTACTCAGGAGGCTGAGAAGATCTGAGGATCATGGTTCAAAGCCAGCCTGGGCAGAAAAAGTCTATGATACTCTGATCTCCAACAAATGCCACTAGAAAACCGGAAGTGGTGCTGTGGCTTAAGTGGTAGAGCACTCACCTTGAGCTGAAGAGCTGAGGAACAGCACCCAGGCCCAGAGTTCAAGCCCCACGGCCGACCAAAATAATAATAATAATTGTTAGGTTTCTAAAAAGAGGTAGCTGAGTAAGAACAGCACCACGCACGTGGTGTTCAGGTAAGGGGTAGGTTTATTTAGTAGACCTGCTGGGACCAGGTAAGCTTGGCACTCCACGCGGCTGGCAAAAAGCCTGGGAAAGAGAGCTGGGAAAGAGCTGAAAAAGAAAGAGCTGGGAAAGAGCTAGAAAAGAGAAGAGAGAGCTGGGAAAGAGAGAGCTGGGAAAGAGAGAGCTGGGAAAGAGCTGGGAGAGAGAGGTCTGGGCCTGGGCTAGGCCTTATCTAGGGTCAGGCTGGAGAAAGGTGTGGCCACATCAAATTCAGATGTGACCTCAGCGAATGCAGATGTGACCTCTTCCAGGTGTGCCAGTTGCCTAGGTAACGCAGGTACTGGGTGGAGACTTTGCTGCGAGGAGGGGGGAGAAGGGTGGAGTCTGCTCGCCATCCAGGAGCAGACCTTACAATAATAATAACAGCAGTA